TGAGATGGGTATTCAAACCCCACACTAGAGACAAAAGGGTTAAGGAGCAGCCCTTAACCTGGATAAACCCACCCTGTTGCACCTGCAAAACCTACTCTATATATACACACACGCTGTGTTTACCTGTGTGTATTCTCCTTATCCCTGCTCCTTTCCTCCGCCCCAGTCTTTAGACATGTTTTTCATTGGGTACACTTCTGTTTTTCTGTCCTATTGTTCCCACTGGATTTTCTGCCCCTCTTAAGTTGCTTTTACCATTCTCTCTCTCTCTGGACACAAACCCAGCCAAGTGGGTTGTTTGCACTTCTGAACTCACGCTATTGGAGTGGCCAAACAGGTTTGCCACTCCTTTCTCTATTCCATGTGTGTAAACATTCTTAATCCTCTTACCACATGGAATGCACAGTGAGTCATGTACAGCTGACTGCTTAGTCTTTCCAGTAAGCCTGCTAAATGCTAAATTAATCATTCCTTGATAAGAGAAAACAGTATTTCTTAATTTTAACTGCACAAGAGGCACAATTACCAGTGCAGAGGCACTGCTGGACTCAGTGAGCTGCAGCCTACACTTCCGGCATGCACCTGTTAAATTCAGGGTGAAGTGTGCATGTTTACCCCTCCCCCCCCACACACACACACTTCTGGGGAAGGATCTGCAGGAGTGGCCATTGCAGAGTGAGCCACACAAATCATTGGCATTCAATGCAGTGAAAACAGAGCAGTGTCTCAAAATAGCATCAGCTTCCCTCCGCAACAGAACACTACCGTTGCAACCTCTTTCCAATGACTGTGTGCAGGAGGCATAACTGATAAGCACCTGTCATGATGCTTCTGTCGAGTCTGCCACGGCACTGCACAGCTGTCACAGGACATCAGAGCGCGGGGGGAGGTGGATGCAGAGGCTGAGCCATGGAGACAAGCTCATAAGGAGTAAAAATCCTGGCCTCTTTTGGAGGGAGGGTTTGTCAGCTCAGACCTACAGTCGGCTCCCTTTCACCCAATTTCAATTTTATATGGCTGAGATAAGAAAAGGAAATAGTGTCCCTCAAAAGGTTCAGTTTACCCTATTGCCATGAACCTCCCTGTGTCTGTGTGTGTTTGCAGACAGTGCTTGTGAAGGGCTAACAATCCTGGAGTGCCAAGAAGCATAGGATAGGCAGCACCACAGCACTTCTCCCCCACATACACACTTCCCTGCCAATTGGTCCCAACTCTGACTCCAACAGATTCCATCGGTTGAGACTCAAATTCCATGTACAGTCAGTGTTTCTCTTCTCTGCTTAATCTGCCAACACAGAGACCAATAATGCCCACAGTGTTCAAAACTCCCTACGTTCCTTTTGGAATTGTAATAACAGGAACGTCTTGAAGCTTGTAACGGAAGCAAGCAACACACATCCCTCACTGTGGATTTCATAGCAGTTACAGAGCAGTGGCTCTCAACCTTTCCAGACTACTGTATCCCTTTCAGTCTGATTTGTCTTACGTACTCCCAAGTTACACCTCACTTAAAACATGACTTGCTTACAAAATAAGAGAAAAACCATGAGGGTCACAGCATGCTGTCACTGAAAGACTGCAAAATTTCTCATATTGTTACCATTGATTATGTTAGCTAGTACAACTTGGCTAGTGTTTATGTAGCCTGTTGTAAAACTGAGCAGATATTTAGATGAGTTGATGTATCCCCCAGATGACTCAAGTACCCCCAGGTGTATGTGTACCTCTGGTTGAGATCCACTGTTCTAGCACTTCATGAAATAGGCACATTAAAATGAGAGATCTGAGTTACCTCCTTAAAGTACTTAACTCGGTGACTCAGTAGGAAGGAGAGAAGACATCCAAGAGGCTTATAGAAGTATAGCCAAGAGCATGGCCAGCATCTCTTTTGCCACTATAAACCTGCTGGGACCCAAAGCTTCATTTCCTTTGGTCAAGGACGGTAAGATGGCATGTGGCATCAGCATCTAGACAAATTAAGTAAGTCGTTCATTGTAAAGATATTCAGAGCAGAGATTCTAGGTCTTGGATAGTGCCTAACACAACAGGGAACCCTGATCCTTAGTGAGGCTGTTTATATTTAATAATATTTCCTTCTCTGTGCCACAAGTTTAGGGCATCTGCAGATGGAAACGTGCGTGACAGAAGGTTTACGTCATTTACTGGCTGCATCTTTCTTACAAGTGTAAAATACCCATTGCATTTTTCTCCAGTTTTCCTTTTCATGTTGCTCAGGAGAAGAGACACAGATATAAAGATGAAAATTATTAGGGACGAATCTCCAGATCTGAATTCTGCAGAAATTCACCTCTTGATTCACCTCTGAATTTTGTAACTGGTCCCTGTCTCTCTATTGGGTTACATTTTGGATAAATTTGGATCAAAATTTTATGACATGGACTCAATTTCTCAAAATTGTATGAGGCTCAGGGCCAATGTTAATAGAATGTTAAGGTGAAGTTTTAATTACATTGAAATATGGAAGTTTCAGATTCAAGGTTCACACAGCAAAAATATTGATTGGAATGACCTGAACTTTTGTGAAAGTATTGCCTTAATCATGAAAATGGTGCAGTGTTGTTTGGCTTCTTAACTGTATTTATTGTTTGGGTGTCTTAAAGGAAAATGTTTAAGATTTCTTCCTTGTTAAGGCTTGTTTACAATCTCAGGCTATAATTCAGAAAAGTATATTTGCTCATAAAATAAATATCCTGGAAGTTTTATAAAGACGACACATTACACCATGCAAAATTCTGAACTCCACGTGGAAAGCAAGCAGTGTCTTTCTGTCGGGCAGTGCACAAAATCAGTGAATGCTTCCTTTTGGAACTGCCTGAACACCAAAGAATGCAAATCCAGTGTTACAGAAGGGGACTGGGAGTTTGAGCTTTTGCTTTTTATCCTGCCACTGACTTGCTGCATGCATGGAGGCAACTCCCATCACTGGGGTCGCACTTTCCTTTCCCCAAATGAGTAACAATAGAATTTGCCCCTCTCTTCCTCTTTCAGCCACTCCACATCCCTCACTTTTTTTCTTTATGTCTTGGTTCTTATCCTCTACCAGTCTTATCTTCCCTAGATTTCCCTTTCACTGCTTTCTCATTGTAATATAATAGGTTTCCGAGGCACAGATGAGCGGGTTAGACCAGGGCAAATTGCTTAGAACCAGGGCTACTTACAGCCCGAGACTGTGGGTCCTCCATTATCAGGCACCAGATCAGTCACAAAAAGCACTTCCCACTCACCACACTGGCCAGCAAGAAGCCACACAAGCAATCCCCTCAGACACACCAACTTCTCCTGTGCCCCCACCACTGCCACACCTTCCGCAGATGAGACGATGAAAGCCAATCTCACCAAATCCGAACAGGTTCTTCCGACCCCAAAGGCCCAGCCACACAGTCCCAGGTCAATTTATACCTCAGATTTTACTCCAAAGAACATGCTGTGTAAACATGAGCAAGTCACTTGTCTATGCTTGACTCAGTCCTTAGTTTACAGCAAAATTTCTCCGATGTGGACTGGCACTATTTAAGTCCACTGTCAGTCAGGTACTTCAATTCCCTTGACTAGACACCCTTTCACAGTAAGTAGGTGAAACCTGTTGATATCTCCGAAGCAAATATGTGGAATACCAGTACATAGTAGGGATGTTTATCTAAATTTAACTAATTGAATAGTCGATGGGATTTCCAGCAGGGGCTCTTGTGCATTTCAAAGACTGAAATGCTGCATGGAGCCTGGGGCCAGCGGGGAGTCCCCTGCTGACCCCAGGCTCCATGTAGTACTTCCACTTTGAAATGTACAAGAGCCCTTCTGGGGCTTTTGTGCATTTGAAAGCAGAAATGGCCTTATCAACTAATGGAATAGATGATGGAAAACCATCAACTATTCGATTAATTGATTCATCTAATTTTAACATCCCTAATGTTGGCTGCCCCAGGGAAAAGGGACAACCCCAGCCATCTCTCACCACAGTTTGGGGCCAGTCCACAGCTGCTTCCAGTGGAACTAGTGTGTCGACTATCAGATGAGTTTTTGCTTATCAGATAATAGACCAGTCATTTACATCCCTAGTACATAGCCGATACTTAACTTCAAATACAAAAATTATACAGTAATGTAGATAGCATCAATAGATTCAGCAAAAACTAAGCTTTTGATAGACACCTCACTTGACCCACTTTGTACAAAATTTGGGGCAAACATACAAGAGTGGGTACAACAATGATCTATCCGAGTGTAACTTCACCCTCATCCCCTCTATCCTCTTTTCCTCCTCCCTCTACACCGCATTTTGCAAAGCCTCCATTCCTACTTGTAAGCATCATTCCCCTAAGTGTTATTTCAGTGATGGGGAGTACATGTGACTTAGGCGTATTCTAGTAAGAGTCAATTAAACTTGACACTGCTGCTTCCATGGATTTTTCTTTGAATCAAATGTTTACTTTCAAATAAATGGATGGTCAACCCAATTTGTGCTGAGTGACTAACACTCAGGGACCATTGGGAGACGCACTCTCCTGTGCAGCCATAAAAAAAAAAACGGACTTAGACTTTGGTCCTCAAGGATATTTAGGCTTCTAACTCACACTGAAACAAAGGAAGTTTAGGCACCAAAAAACCTTTGAGGATCTGGCCATAGATCTCCTCTCTAATCTCTGTTTACAGCAGCTCAAAAACAATGCAAGGTACCAACTACCCTTATGTCCACAATGAGTATCCTAAAAGGCTGTAATGTTAACACGCTAACGATATTGTGTGTGTTCCTACTTAAACATACCAGTTTTCTAATGATCGGGAGTTCCAGCCAAACAACCTGCAGAAAGATATACACACAGCAGAAAAATAGATTGTCTGTGGCTGAGCTCTGTAACTGAAAGAGAAAAATCAGGAAAAATCCATTATTTTCTGTTTCTAAGTCTACATTATATTGCATGATAAGATAAAAGATTTCACCCCTCACTTCTTTTCCCACAATGACATATACAGATGTCTGTACTGTGAGTACACAATTTTTTCCCCCTCCTCCTAGAACACCCTTTTAAATACTTTAAAACTGCTATCCTGTCCCCTCTCAGTCTTCTCTTTTCTAAACTAAACAAGCCCAGTTCTTTCAGTCTTCCCTCATAGGTCATGTTTTCTAGACCTTTAATCGTTTTTGTTGCTCTTCTTTGGACCTTCTCCAATTTCTCCATCTTTCTTGAAATGTGGTGCCCAGAACTGGACACAATACTCCAACTGAGGCCTAATCAGCGCAGAGTAGAGTGGAAGAGTGACTTCTCGTATCTTGCTCAGAACTCTCCTATTCATGCATCCCAGAATCATGTTTGCTTTTTTTGCAACGGTAGGCTAATGAAAGTGGCATAGCAGATTCAATACAGCCAAATATTTAACAATGTGCTTATGTCCCATTAGCTCCAATGAGACTACAGGAATAAGCACTCTGATATCAGTACAATGGCATCCACACTGACTAACAACTGCATTTAGAAACTATGTACGTAAATGCTTTCCTGGATCAATGCCTAACATGTTAAATTAAAATTTGAATATTGAGAGATTTTACTCTGTGTCACTAAGAATGAAAATGGGGTTTAACAGTCTTCAACTGGTGCTCTAGCAGAAATTCATCCATAACACAATCACTGTACAATGGGCTGTCTCATAAGTAAAACAGAATTAGTGATACAGACTAGGGAAAAAAAAAGCTTTCCCTTTGCCATTAAAGCCACCAAGCTCCAGTCTTTCCTGCACTCTCCATTCTTCCCTTGGGTTTTTTATTACATTCTTTATCACAGTCCTGTTTTTAATCACATCAGTGTGTCCTGTTTACTCGTCTCAAGCCTAAATATTCCAATATCACTTGCTTGTGTTGTTCAGCAAGCTTCAATTTTCTCCACAGATTTTCCTTCCTGATGTAGATCTTACAATATCAACCTCTCCATTTGCTCCCAGACCTCCCACTGAAAGTGTTACTTTACACTTTTAAAAATCTGAAGCGATGCCTATAAAAATGCGACTAAGTAGTGGGACAAAGGCCCAAAGAGATGTCTGCGAGTAATTTAAATTTGTCTTGGTTAAGCTTGCGACCCTTCTATAGTCAGTTTAACATGAACATTTGAGCAGATGAATTTTACCTACCCAAATGCATGAGGAGAGAGACAGCAATGGCTTATCTTGGGAATTAGGTGGCTGTGGGTATGTCAACACTGCAGCTGGGTGGTGTAATTTCCAGCTCATGTAGGTGTTCATGGGCTAACTTTGATTGAACCAGTGCATACCAAGTATACCCTAGCAGTGGTGCCACAGTGTCTCAGGCGAGCTGCCCAAGTTCATGCTTAGGATCCAGGAGCGAGTCTACGTTACCACTTAAGCTGATCTAACTTGCATCGCTCCATGATATGCCAAAGACACTTCCCTGAGTGATGAAAGCTATGGGGACACAAGCACTAGCCATACTGCCTCAAGCGGAGTTGGAATAATTATGCTAATGGGAAACGGTCTCCTGTTGGCATAGACATTCTTTACCAGACCAGCCATAGCTATATTGGTGCAGTTGCTCTGATATAGCACATCTAGGCAGGTGCGTTGACAGGGATGCGAGGGGGGAGGCAAAGGGAGCAACTGCCCCAGGGCCCAGTGATTCAAAGGAGCCTGGGTCGCCGAGCCACTGCTGCTACTGTGACAGGCTGTGGCTGGAGCCCTGTGCCCTTTAAATCACTGCAGGAGGCGGAGCACTGCAGCAGAGACATGGGCAACATGGTCTGGATGATGCAAGAGAAGCGGAGGGTGGCATGGTCTAGGAGGCACTGAGGGCTGGCTGCCCAGCTCCGCCCCTTCCACCTGAAATCCCATCCCTTCTGGGAGTGCAGAGCTAGACAGCCCCTCCCCGCGACCCTGTCTAGGGGCCCGGAGTCTGTCTTCTCACTTGCTTCTTAAACAGGATTGTATTCAGCCCGAGCCACTGCAGCTATGCTCATCTTAATACACTAGCTCAAGCAAAGCTATCGTATCTACTTTTCCACAAGTTGGAAGCCCTATGTCCTAGCTGTCATGTAGACATACCCTGTAAATGGAGTCTCACGCCATGGCGTGATCTGCATTTGTGTTTATACTCTTTAGAGTTGGCTCTTCATCCTACACAAACTAGGGGACAGGACTGGCTTAAAGGTTCAAACCAGGTGGCAGACAAAAATAGAATGTGATTTAGGCTAGTTTTTATAGCTCATGACATTGTTTGGTCCCACACGTGATTTTTGCACACAAAGGATTGGCAAAACTGAGTGAGTCATTCTGCAACTCTATGTTTTGCTTCAGTAAGATGCATTGAGCACGACTATTCCCAGAAACAGACATGGACTGAGCAAGAACTTCCTCTCCTTGACAAAAATTGATCTGTTTTCCTTTGTGATTATTAGTTTGGCCTGTCTCTGACTTGTTTACTTTAATTGTCTTTGCAGTTTTGAGCCATTCATGAGGATTAGCAGGAAACTCCAAAATACATGCATGGGAGCCTAAGTTCAATTTTCTTCTCCAGTATTTTTTTTCCCCTTTTCTCTGAAGTAAAGGATTAATCTTCCTTTATCACATTTCCAGGCATTGTTAGCAGTCATAGCAGAATCCCTTACGCTCTCAGATTTGTATTACATTTGCTTAGAAGCATGCCATCAACTTAGAAAAAAATTCACACATCTGTCTGAACTTCAACTACTATTGCTGCACATCACCTCTAAGTTTACTGTAGCTGAAGGAGAATAGAGAAATAAAATCTTGGGTTTGGGGGATGAAGGAGAGACTCAGGTATAATGTTCTGATGTACTACTCAGGTCATCCCGGTTCAGTTGTTGGGAGTGCCACAGATCTTCTCTCTCACCTTGGGCAAATCACTTAAGCCCCGATTCAGAGAAGCCCATGCTTAACTTTAAACACATGAATTGGACAACTCTTATCCTAAAATTAAGTACCTGCTTGTGTTCTTTGCTGGATCAGGGCCTATAAAGTGGAGATGCTAATCACACATCCCTACCTCACAGTGTGGAGGATAAACTCTTAATTTTTGCAAGGCCAGGCTGGGAGCAGAGCTCAGTGGCCAGGGCTGACAGCCAGGAGGGGAGCCCTGAGCTCCCCTGGTCCAGCAAGCGCCATGATTCACGACCACTCAAGGTCCTGAGGGTGCTGAATCGGGGAAGTCCAACCTGTACAACTAATTCTAACACTTTTTTGTATCCCTACATATTTTTTAAAATGTCCAACCCACTCACGACTCACCTAGCATCAGATCATAGGTTCATGATAAAGTGCATTTATCACATGACCATCTCTTTATGCTTCAGCATGCTTTGTACCGTAAATGAAAAACGTGCACCTAGTCTCTTCCGCAAAGCTCTTACACGGTAAATAAAATGGACAGAGGAAACAGGATGCACAGAGAAGACCAGAGAATTAGAGACCAACATGATTTTACATCTAATTTTAGATACCAAAAAAGCGTTAAGAGAACAGTAAGGTTGAAAAGTCAGGCACTCAAACATTTGGGAGTGCCAGAATTAAAGTCACAATTTGACCTCCTTGGGCATCTGCATTATGATACAGTCTAATTATATTACAGTTTTTTTTCCTTTACACTGCCTGATCCCCCCTGCACAGGAGTCAGAGAGCACAGGAGAGGGGGTTCCTGGCTCTCATTTCAGGTGCCAGAACCAAACTTCAACCCGAGGCAGACATCTGACATGAAAAATCAGCCTAAACAGTTAAAAGTGTAACTAAGATATAAGCAACTGAAAGATTGTTAGATTGTGTCCACTTTTATACTACTATCTGTGCCCCCTCCCAACAAATTATATTAAGCATAAAATATAAACATTAATTTGGAAGCCTGCATGCAGCATTCTAGAAAGCTAAATGGTACTAGACAACAAACCAAATACTGTAGCATAGTCAGATCAAGAAAAAGCCACAGCACTGATTAAAAGGAGACAGTGGATACAGATAACTTTGAAGTAAAGTTTAGTACAATTTTGCTGTTCTTGCTCCATGTGCCATTCCAGATAAAAAATGTGGGGCTTATGAGTTTCTTCAACAGGCAGTCACAGCATAAAAGAAATGGATTCCAATCTTGGTCTCTCAACAGGCAGTCACAGCATAAAAGAAATAGATTCCAATCTTGGTCTTTTTTATCTTAGGAAAAAATCATGCATTAGAGTAATTGGTGATCTACTGCTTGAAGTCAGCCCTTTTCAGGTCAATATCCAGCTGCCTCCCTTTGTAGCCATCTTTCCAAAAGGTAGATGTGGAAAAAAGAGCTATCAAGAAGTTAAAAGGCACACTGAGTCTATCCCACAATTTCAATATATACACCCACAAAATGCTCTTAGATCCTTTCCCTTAATGTAGGTGACTACCTTCAGATGTCTAAAAGGAACTTTTATTGTTAACCTAAGATTTCTGTCCTTCATTAAAAAGGTACTGAGTCTGGTACGTAAAAAAAAATACAGATGGAGAATTCAGTGCTGGTCCAGTCTAGGCATCAGCACTAGCAGCTTCAAGGATTTATTTCATGTTCATTATTATATGCCTAATACCCCATCATTACTTGCTATTAGTTTCAGGACACAAATGCTTTATTGTGCATTTATTTTGGACCCCGCAGTCTGTCCCCCAAGAGCCAACTGCTCTATCATGTTAGTGCAAAATCAGTTAAATGGCTTGCATCTTCCTCTCCAGAGGTTTGTGGGTAGACTGCTTTCCTTATGCAACTCTGGAGATGCCCATCTTCTCCCATTCCCCACTGCCACTGTCACATCAGTTCCCTGGTTCATTCTAGAGCTAAGCCATCGTTCTGCTGGGAAACGTTCATTTGGCAGAGCCTCTCAGCAACTGTCACGAGA